TTTTGATTGAATTTACTAGTAGGTTCTTGGGGAATTCTAGAGAGAAAATAGAGCTTCTTGGTCTAAAGAGAGAGCAGAAGGGATTCTAAAAAAAAATGCTGGGACTTGGCTTTTGTATTAAGAAATAATTTGTATGAAACTTGTAATGCCTTTATTTGTGCCAAGGGTTTTACATATGTAACTGCTTAAGACATTATTTTATCACGTTCTGTGAAAATCATTGATAATACATAACATATAGTTAACCTAATTAAACCAATTGATTTGTGTATAGCTAAAAATTAAAAAACATATCGGTAATACATTTGGCATAAAATTAGTATCATTTGATGTAAATTGAGAATGAATTGTTGTAATACACTAAAAAAGAGTTATGATAATTATAACTTAATGTAAATTAAAAACAACCATAATAATATATTATTGTAATGTAAATAATTATATTATTTATGTAAAATTTTAATTAATTATTTTTTTGTAAATATCAAAGGAAAATAGCTAGAAATTAAAAAAATAAATTGATAACATAAATAGGTGAAAGCAAATGTAAAATTAGTATCCTTTTGACTTAAAATAGGTAAAAAATGTTGTGACACATTAAAAAGAAGTTATGATAATTCTAAACATAATGAAATGTTAAAATAACCATAATAAGATATTATTGTAAAGCAATAGTTATGTTGACAAAATAAAGTTTTAATTAATTATTATTCTTGTAAATATATAAGAACAATAGTTAAAATTAAAAAACTAATTGACAACATAAAAAAGTTAGACGTAACGTAAAATTAATATCATTTAGAGTAAAATGAGTAAGAAATATCGTAACACATTAAAAAAATTTTATAACAAATATAAACAGAATAAAAAATAAGAACAACTATAAAAACTATATTATTGTAACATAATCTATTATTGTTTTTATAAATATATAAGAAAAAAACTAATAATTAAAAAATAAATAGGTAACATAAACAAGTAAGAGCAATATAAAATTTATATTATTTGCTGTAAAATTGGTAAGAAAGAATTATAACAATTCTAAATGCAATGTAAGATAAGAATAAACGTAAGAAAATGTCATTGTAACATAAATAATTAAGTAGAAAATGTAAACTTTTAATTAATTATTATTTTTATAAATATATAAAAATAACTAAAAATTAAAAGGTTAAATGCATATTTGGCCCCTGAACTTTATAATTTTGGTACATTGATATTTAAAAAATTTTTCTACCACATTGATACCTAAATGCTCAAATCTATTACCATGTTGGTACGTGGACAAACATTGTTGGACAATTTTGCTGATGTAGCAGGAATATCTAATAAGATGTTAACATATGTTAAAAAAAAAGTTAAGTCAGCGTCACATTATCAATACCATGTTATCTTTAAAAGAAAAATTAAGAAAAAATTTTAAAAAATTCAAAAAATTTTAAAACAATTCTAAAAATTCTAAAATAATTTTTAAAAAAATTTCCAAAATTAAAAAAGAATTTAAAAATTCAAATAAAAATTTTAAAAAATCTAAATGTTTTTTCAAATTTTCAAAAATTTTTTAGAAAATTAAGAAAAAATTTAGAAAATTCTAAAAACTATAAGATTTTAAAAATTTTAAAAATTTTAAAATTTTATAAAAATTTAAAATTTATAAAAAAATCTAAAACTTTTTAAAATTTTAAAAAATTCTAGAAAATTTTAAAAAATTCAAAAAGAATTAATGAAGCTTAAAAATTTTCAAAATTAGAAAAAAAATTCAAAATATTTAAAAGAATAAAAAAATGGTGACTTTAATAAAATTTAAAATTTTGTTGAAATTAAAAAAAAAACTAAAAAAAAACTAAAATAGAAAAATAGAAATCTTTTGAAAAGATATAATAATTTTTTAAAATTTTTTTAAAATGTCTAAGATTTTTGCATATTTTTTAATCTTACAATTTCAATTTTTATATATTTTTTGAATTTTTAATTTTTTTGAAACTTTTTGGATATTTATTAAATTTTTAATTTTTTTGAATTTTCTAATTTTAAAGAAAGTTTCGAATTTTGAAATTATATAATTTTTCAAAAAATTTTAAAAGTTTTTATATTTTTTCTTATATTCTGTTTTTAAACTTTTTGTTATTTTTTTAAACTTGGAGAAAATTTAATTTTTATAAATTTTAATTGTTTTAAATTTTTTCATTTTTTAAAATAATTTCAAAAATTTTTAAAATTTATAAAAATATTTCATATTTTTAACTTTTTACTAAATTAACATTTTTTTTTATAAATTTTCAAAAATTTTATAACTTTTAAGAATTGTTTAGAATTTTTTTAATTTTTTGAGAAATTTCAAAAAAGTTTTTTCCATATTAAAAAAAGTTTTGAAAATTTTAAAATCTTTTTAGTTTTTTAAATAATTTTTTTAAATTTAAAAATTTTTAGAATATGTTTAAAATTTTTACTAAGTATTTTAAAATTTTTTAGAATTATTTTGAATTTTTATAAGTTTTTTAATTTCTTTTGAAGTTTTTAAAAGCTTTTAGAAATTCTCAAAATTTATAAAATTTTTAAAAAATTGTTAAAATTTTTTTCATATTTTTAGATTTTTTTAGAATTTTAATTTTTTTTATTTTTTTAAAAAGTTTTTTGAAGTTTTTTAGAAATTTTCTTTTAACAATGACATGGGCATGATGTGGAATTGATGATGTAGTATTAGTTGAACTTTTTTAATATATATCAATATCTTGTTAGATATTCATATTATATCAAAAAAGTTGACTAACAGCATTAGTCTCAAGTACTAACATGATTACAGATTTGAACGTTCAAATACCAATGTGACAAAAAAATTGTTTTGGTAACAACGTGACAAAAATTACAAAGTTCAGAGGTCAAATATATATTTAACCCAAAATTAAAAAATAAATGGCAACATAAATAAGTGAAAAAAACGTAAAATTTATATCATTTGCCGTAAAATAGATAAGAAATATCATAACACATTATAAAAGAGTTATAATAATTTTAAACGTAATGAAAAGTAAAAACAATCTTAAGAAGATATGATTGTAACTTAAATAATTAAGTAGACAACGTAAAATTTTATTTAATCATTTTTTTTGTAAATATATAAACAAAATAACTAAAAATTAAAAATAAATAGGTAACATAAACAAGTGAGAAACTTCATATCATTTGGCTAAAAATGAATAAAAAGCATCATGACATACATTAAGAAAGGGTTGTAATAATTCTAAACATAATGAAAGGTAAGAACAACCATAATAAGGTATCATTGTAATGTAAATAATTAAGTAATGTAAATTTTTAATTAATTAGTATTTTGTAAATATATAAGAGAAATAGCTAAAATTAAAAAAAAGTAACGTAAACAAGCAACAAAAAAGTATAAAATTCGTATCATTTTACGCAAAATGAGTAAGAAGTATCATAACACACTAAAAAAGAATTATAACAATTCTAACCTTATTGGAATGTAATAATAATCGTACGAAAATATTATTATAACATAAATATTTAAGTTGACAACATAAAATTTTAATTACTTATTGTTTATGTAAATATGTAAGAAAAATATCTAATAAATAATAAAAAAAAAACTTGATAACTTAAACATGCAAAAGAAAATGTAAAATCCATATCATTTGACATAAAATGTATAAAAATTGTCTTAACTCAATAAGTAAAAGCTATGAAAATTCTAAATGTAACAAAAAGTAAGAATAATTGTAATAAAATATTATTGTAACACAAATAATTAAATCAATAATGTACATTATACTTTGATTCATTATTATTCTTGTAAATATATAAGAAAAATATGTAATAAATAATCAAAAATTTTTTAGCAAAAACAAGTGAGACGTACAATAAAATTATTCTCACATTTGAAAAAATATCATTATACCATTTTTAGTTCTAAAAATTTATTAATGTAAATATTTGTGTACTAATTTTTTTACTGCATAGCAAAATATTTGGATAATAGTAAAAAGTGTCACATTTTAATCGAGTGGTGTTTCAAATATGTTGAATTTTTTATTAAAAGATACCAAAATTTGTAGTTAAAGTATTTATAAAAAAATCATATAAATAAAATGATACAATGATAACTTTCATTTTTATGATTTATGTTAATAAATTTTTAAGACTAGAAAGAAAAATCATATAAATAAAATCGTAAATTATATAACAAAAATAATTAAAAAATAAATTTAAGATTAAAAAATAACATAAAATAATTGATATTTTAAACTTAAAAAAATAAAAAACTATTAAGATGAGTATTAAAATTTGTATTAATTATTATTGTAGTATTATCGTACGTTAATAATGAAGGAATAATAAAATATTATTTATTAAAATAATATATAATATAAATATAGTTGAATTTTTATTTTAATGTTATTATTTATAGATGAAAATAAGTATATAATATGTAATTTATAATTTTTATTTGTTAAAAAATAAAATAAAATAATTTATTTTTATATTTTTTAGTTGACCTAACCTGTTCGATTATTTTTTATTACCTTTTAAATTTTTTTTTTATTTATAAAACATCATGATATCTGGCAATTTTATAATAAAATCGACAAATTATTACCTTTGTAAGACAAGCCCCAACAAACAAAACAGGAAAGTTATGTACCGTCCATGTCTGGTCAAAACATTCCAAACGGCACCGTCTCACTCCCTCCATCATGTGATCTCCAGTTCTTTGGTACTATAGATCTTAGCCTCAAGATTTTTTTGAAGCAACCGACGGAGAAAAGAAGCTTCTTAACTCAGAGACTTCCAGATATATTTCAGTGCATTCAAGAGATTCCTTCCTCTATCTCCCAAAAAACCAGCTTCTTTGTTACAAATAAAAAGATCTTTATATCTTCATTTCTATCAAAGTTTCCAACTTCCAACCTTTACCTAACTGTTCCATTTTTGACAGTTGGAAGGAAAAAAAGCTACCAGCAAAAGAAACTAACCAAAAAGAATCATGAAATCTTACATTATCTTCAATTCTAACTCAAACCCATTTCTGAAAATCCTCTCTTTATCTTCATTATACCTCCAAGTTTTCTTCTTTTTTCTTATTCAGATTCATTTCTCTTTCTCTTCTTCACCAAAAACTCTCATTTTTCCCCTTAAAACCCAAACCCTAAGATCTCCGAACAAGCTTCAGTTTCACCACAACGTTAGCCTCATTGTCTCTTTAACAGTAGGCATTCCACCCCAAAATGTTTCCATGGTTCTTGACACAGGAAGCGAGCTTTCTTGGCTCCATTGCAACCGAACAACCGGAAACAACCAATCAGACCCGAAAAAATTCGACCCGACTCAATCAACCTCGTACAAGCCAGTCCTTTGTTCTTCTCCAACATGCATAAACCAAACCCAAGATTTCCCAATCCCCGCTTCATGCGACTCCGAAAACCTTTGCCACGCAACTCTTTCCTACGCTGACGCTTCATCTTCCGAAGGAAATCTCGCGTCCGATATTTTCCATCTCGGGTCATCCGACAATTTTTCGGGCCTTGTTTTCGGGTGCATGGGTTCCATTTTCAGCTCCAACTCAGACGAAGACTCCAAAACCACCGGGTTAATGGGCATGAACCGTGGGTCACTTTCTTTTGTTTCCCAAATGGGATACCCAAAATTCTCGTATTGCATCTCCGGTTTCGATTTCTCGGGCCTCCTTTTGCTCGGTGACTCCAATTTCACGTGGCTTACGCCATTGAACTACACGCCTTTAATCCAAATTTCCCAACCGTTGCCGTATTTTGATCGGGTCGCTTATACGGTTCAGCTTGAAGGGATCAAAGTTTCGGGTAAGTTGTTACCCATTCCGAAATCGGTTCTAGTTCCGGATCATACTGGGGCCGGTCAAACCATGGTTGACTCGGGTACCCAATTCACTTTCTTACTCGAACCGGTTTATAATGTTCTAAGAGCAGAGTTTTTGAACCAAACGGGTGGGATTTTAAGGGTTTTAGGGGATCCGAATTTTGTGTTTCAAGGGGCAATGGATTTATGTTACCTGGTCCCATTGGGTCAAAATAATCTGCCAAATTTACCCTCGGTGAGTTTCATATTTACCGGGGCCGAAATGGTGGTATCGGGTGATCGGGTTTTATATCGGGTTCCGGGTGAAATAAGAGGGAATGATTCAGTGTGGTGTTTGAGTTTTGGGAACTCTGATCTTTTAGGTGTGGAGGCTTATGTGATTGGTCATCATCATCAACAAAATATGTGGATGGAATTTGATCTCGAGAAATCAAGGATTGGTTTGGCTCATGTGCGGTGTGATTTGGCTAGGCAGAGATTTGGTGTGGACCTTTAGGGAACAGGTTCCATACTAACACCTTCCTTTCTAATTTCTGAACAATTTTATTTGGGTGCGTGAAGAATTATTATCAAGGTCAAGGACCTTTTGCTTTGATGTGTTCTTGAGCTTTAGCAAATCGATGATCTACTTGATCAGACGGCAGCAATTTATGCTAATTTGTACATCTGTTTATGATCTTAAAATTTCATTAATTTATATTCCTTTTCTATCATGTGGTGATATATATATATATTTTTAATTTTTCACTATATAGTATGTTTGTTAGTACTGCAAATACGATTAATTTAAATTCAAATATAATTCAATTGCTTTACACACTTATTTGTAAAAATGATATTTGATAAATATGATATTTAAATTTTAATATTTATATTTTCTTTTCATATTTTTAGATTATATTTTATTTTGTAAAAAAAAAAAAAGAATATGGCTACTTTGTTCGACATTTATTAATAGACATAATAACATAATTTGTAAATAAATTAAATGTTTAAAATAATTATCAAGTTATAAATATAATTTATTTTAGTTTATTAATTAAAAAATACTTGGTAGGCAATTCTAAGTAGATAAAAAAGAAGGTGACTAAATGAGTTGTTAAGTGCAACAAAGAGTAGCATTTTTCTTTCAAACTTTATCATTGATGAGGAGGGTATTTAATTTTAAAATTTGCTAGAATTGTAGAAAGATAATAATGAAACTAGCACTACCTTAAAGAGATTAGTTTTACCTTTGAGCTTTGAATTGCGTAATATAAAGTCTACATCTTGTCCTTTCTAGGCTCTAGCCCAAGGTAGTAGTATGATTGTAAATAATTTATACTGCAAAATTTTGGCTTTATTGGGCCAAAACACTTATTTTGTGAATCCACAGCCTATTCCCAATGGTCCAAATTCTAGAGGGCTCGTTTCATTTAGCCTCGATTTACAGGTTCAAAGTTGCCATGGTATGCACTGTACACATAATGATCCTCGTTCATCAGATTTTTTTTTTTTAAAAATTAAAAAAAAGAGAATTTGAACATACTTTCTAAACAAACTATATATGTAATTGTTCTATTTCCGACATCATATTCATAATTAAAGCGTTCATCGTAGTTAGAAAGCTAGTGACTTCACAAAAAATCAAAATGAAAAAACTTGAGCAGCAGATATTTTATTATCTAAAATAATCTTAAACAAATTAGCAAAACACAACCACCATTTTTTTTTTCACAAAGAACCTGACTAAAAGCTTAATTGCGTAATTGTTAAAGCTTCCACTTCTTCTCAAAGGCCATGCAAACCATTCCCATGCAATATTTAGCACTCAATGGATAATTAGCAACTGCGAAAGCCAAAACAAATAGGCGATTTGTTCAGCAGCAAAAGATTATAGCTTCAAACCTCAAATGGAACACTACAAATCAAACTAAGCAATTAATCAAGTAAAACTTTGTTGAGCTATTTAAGCTAAGTAGATGAAAGATTATTAAATGAACTAATTTATATAACAAGAATATGCAACAAATACCACAGAAGGAGAAAGTGTTTCAAGAACACTAGCAAGCAAATCGCGAAAATAGCTTATAGCCTTTGATTAAATGTTGATTGCTATATATCTCAAAAATCTCTTCCTTTGTAAACTTATCTTTGTAATTAATTTAACAAAAATTATTATTTCATTCATTGTCAGTGGAATTGTAAATTTCATGAATAAAGTATATTTATTTTTTTATGAATACTCACGATAAAGTATCTAAACAAGCTATATATAGTATTGTTTTAAACAGATGAAGTAGATATGGCATAAAACTTGGTTTAAACCATTTCTTAATTTGGGATCAAACTTGCTTGAAATATAATCGTCTGTCTCGGCCTTGTTAACTTTCCCATTAACCGTTGTGTCCATCTAACACATACATATGCAGAAACAAATTACAAAAGCGACAATTTCCATCTCCGGTAACAAAAAATAGGTGCAAGATTAATCCGAGATAAAACAGATAGAAGCGAAAAACATACCACGAAAGCAAGGTTTACATCATCAGCAACAGCAGAAACATAGTCCCGTACATCGACAAACTTGTCTGCATTATAAGAGAGTCCTGCAATTTTAGGATCAAACAAGTTTTAACTAATCAATTAGTTGGCCCCAACTACACAGGAGTAGAAGAAATTAATTTTGCGATTATGAATTTAATTCTCACCAACTATACGAAAGTTGGGAGGTAAATATCGAGTCACAGGCCCTTCCAGGGTCTCAAAAAGTTTCTCATCTGGCTCTGAAGTTGCTCTTACGCACTTCTTTTCCAACAGCTCCACTGTTATAAAAGTTTTAATGAGTCAAATCTGCTTATGACTAAGGATTTTCTTTTGGGAGAGAGACGATAGAATAATTTCATTAATCAATATAGTGTTACTTACATATGATTCCGCAGAAACGGTTGCGTGTTCTTGGTATTCGAACGAGTGGTTTGATTTGACAGAGAAGGCCTTCATCTGTTTTAACATAGATGGCTCCAACTCTTCCGTTTTTGTTAAGTGGGATATCCAGGATTAGTTTGACAGCCTAAACAAAAGTTAAAAGGGTAAACTCATTAAGCAGGGGTTATATACAATAAAACTGAATGTCTTGCGAACAGACCTGGAAAACAATTTCAGGCCGATAGTTATCAGGATTCTGTTTTTGTCTCTTCAGGAAATCAGCATCTTCGTCGGCGTCCAAAATCTTCCGCTTCTAAGATATATGTGAAAAACTAAAAATTGCTTACCTACCCTGATACCCAAAATGTCGAAGAAGATGATATACAATTTAAGCAGAAAAAAAGTAAAAACAATTGGACGTACTTTTCCGACATAACCTTTTTTGAGAGAAGCGTGCCCAAGAATAAATATGGCGCGAGGAAGGGGAACCATGTTCTGGGGAGCTGCCTCCAAACCAGCAGCAACGGTTTCCATGGTCTGCTTTTCTTTGACTAGTTGCGGCTTTGAATTTTTTCTGTTTCAGAATTCTACATGGCCTCATTCTAGTTTTTTACGAGGTGAAACTCAACCCTAATTAACATGTTGACACAATGACATTTATTATTTCTAATAATTTAAAACTAAATAAAATTATTTTAAAATTTATTTGTAAAGAAGTCTGTTAATTACCAGTATATTTATTGTATTTAATTTTGTTTGAATAATATGCTAATTAATATAAGAAAACATATAAATTAAACATTAATTATGAATGTTAAAGAAATTAAATAGATTAAGTAAATAAATTCAAGTTTTTTCCTATACCAGAGTAAAATAAAAACTTTATTCACTAATAAGCACACTTTTAATCTTATTTCCCTAATTGGGATAATCATATGATTTTTCTCATTCCCCACTACAAACACAGCTAGCTTCATTGACACGGGAACCTGAAGAAAGGATTTAATAAAGAGTTGGGCTATCTGGACGGTAAAAACTTGACGATGAAAATAATGAAATGAGAAATCGCAGGACACTGATAAGTTTGCCACTAATTACCTGGAAGAATTTTATAGGGCTCATCAAGTAAACGTGGGAACCCGCACCAAAGAACATGCTCAACGGACAACACCACCAACCAGTTTTGTTAAGGTGAACTTTGATGGGGCCTTAAAGGAAACAGAAGCCGTCGGTGGCATTAATGTAGTGATCAGGGACACTAAAGGTAATGTGCTTTACGTTTCCTCCACTATTATATCTCTTTGGTTGAAGCTTATGCTGCAACTAAGACAATCGAGCTTGTTAAAGATCTGGAATTCATGTCAGTTATGTACTAGAAGAGGATGCTCTTGGCGTTGTTCACTTACTAGACTCAGGGTCTGCAGATCTATCCATTATTGGAAATATTATGCAAGATGCTCACATGCTTCAAATGTTTTTTCAGTCTTTTAGAGGGGTTTACACCAAGCGTGGTGCTAATGAAGCAGCAAGTAGGTTGGCCAAGCATGCACTGTTGCTAAGAACGGAGCTATATTGGGTTGAGGAATGCCCACCCATAATCCATGAAACTATTGTTGTTGATTGTAATCACGGTTACTTAATGGATTATCCTTCTTACTAAAAAAAAAAAATTTACAAAAGGACGTGCCACTATTCTGAAAGTATTATTTTTGCAACTAGCCCAAACTCTCTTTCCATTTGGACTTAAAATTAATAGTAACAGTAAGCTTCAAAGTGAGTGAGACTAGTGATCTATTGATCTGGAATTGACTACAAGGGAGGATATACGTGGCCCTTACTCTCCTCCCTCTGCCCCTTCACCTTTAGATCAAAACATGAGCTACAAAATTATTTTCTTTTCCAGGGAGTAACACGGGGAGTAGAGAGACAAATTAGGGAATTTTCCTACGCTCGATGGCCTTGCAAAATTCCACATCTCCTTAACTTTTCAAAAATTAAAACTTTTTAAAAAATAATGTCTAGTCTTCAAGTTGCTTCTAGACCTAGGTGGAATGGCAACAAGCTTTGTTGTGGTACAAAGCCAGAATGAAAACCAAGATCAAAAGTGGAAATCAAGCATCAAGTTTCTTCAACGGGGCCGGAAGTGGCTTTCCGATGGAAACTTTTCCGACCTCCAATCAATTTTCGGATTGATTAGGTCTGACCTTACCGGGATGATGGTGAACCATGATGCTTAAGCCAATGAGTCGATCTGTCGAGATAGAAAAGAACAATAGAAGTAGATAGAAAAACACCAAAGAAAACGTAAGAAAAATGGGGCTGAGATCGTGTAACAGTTGGTGTTCATGTAGATCTCCTTCTACGGTTGCTTCAAAGAAAACTGAATCAGAAATTAACTTTGCTTCAAATGAATAAAAGACTTCAACTATTCACAATCCTGCTTGAAATTCCTATGACTGATTGAATATAGAAACTGACGCTTTTTTTATTAGTTAATCTTACATTGCTGATTTGGAAAAAAATAAGATGGGATGGCGTGAACTCCCTTATTTAAGAAAATAAGATTAAAAATACTCTTATAAGGGAATAAAAATTTTAAACTATTTTAGTACAAGAAAAAAACAAATAAATTCAAAGTTTCCTTTTGATTCAAGAGAGTTTATAAGTAGGGAACAACGTAATTATTAAGTCAAATGGGAGTTAAACAAATCTGGTCTTGATTTAATGATCTTTGGTATGTTATTCCATTAAAACTAAGAGAGTAAAGGTTCAGAAACCAAACCCGCCCGAAATAAGTTAGGTGAGCAAAATGCCAGAATTAGAGTTAACTATGGTGAATATTATATATATATATATATATGAAAGAATTATTGTCCTATCCACTATTAGTGGAAACTAAAAACTCCACTAACTGATATTTTTATTTGCTACGTATCTTTAAAAAAAACTTTCTTATATGTTGTTTATATTAACTAGTCTGAATGCCGTTTAATTCCAAAATTTTTGCTATCACTTTCTATGCCTCTCTTATCCTCGCTTCTCAATACCGTTTAATTCCAAAAACTTTCTTATATGTTTATATTAACTAGTTTTTTAACTGTGCAACTGAACAACCTTCTCACCTGTTCTTTTCGTTTTTCCAATCCCTTTCTCAAGAAAATTTCATCTCAAATTTTCTCGACAAGGCTAGGATTTATAATAAAAGACAGGAATAGAGAAGGAGCAATCATGAGCTTTCAAGATCTGGAAGCTGGACAGCCATTGGTGTCGAGGTAGAACCTGATCAACGGCAAGCAAGATACCACCCAAACAGTGACTTCTAGCTTTCCAGATCAACACCGCTATCTCCACCTTCCAGCGACTCGTCGATACCTTTGGGACTCCTAAGGACACGCTTGAGCTCTGAGAAAAGCTATGAGTTTTGCCGAATTCAGTTGCCTCGATTGCAATTTTAACTGATTACATAATTTCAAGTTGACCGTCATTTGATTTTGAATCTAAATACACAAAATTTTGGATTAATTTTTTTCAATTGCGTTGATTTTAGCTTCGATCTTTTATTTAGGAGTTTCAATTAGGGATGATAAATGATGCCATTAGTCAAGTTCAATTTGACTTGCCTTTTGGAGAAGCTCAATCATTATCGTTTGGGTGAATGAGATAATTCTCAAAATACCTTATATTTATCTTGACATTTAATGTTGGCACTTAGCAGTTTGCATCCTTGTATTGTATGGGCAATTAGTTGCTTTCTTTCGATTTTCTTGAGTAATTTTGACTATATGCTAATAAGATTATGAGTGGGCAGTATAGCTGACATTTTTCACTTGGTAAGCATAAAACAAGGCTACATATTGGGCAATTAGTGAAGAACACTTCAACTAGACTTAAACAAGCTAGTGAAACAAATCACTATGCTGAAGTTAGCGTAAGTTTGGTTTTCGGTTTTGGTTGATTATGTCTACCAAGTAGCCTTCTGCTTTACTTTCTAAATCAACAAAAAGAGATGATAATTGCAGTGTTTGTCATTTACAATGTTTCTTTTGTTCTATTCAAAATCATGGTAATTCTTAAATAGGTTATTGAAATTATTGCTAAAACCACTTAATCCCTCATCTCTCTTTCCCCTTAGGATGTGCTTGATGCCCTTTAACTCCTTGTAATTGTAGGCCAGTAAAAAGATAACATATGCTAAACTTGCAAAAGATTTTTAAGCAATTTTGAAAAAGTTTCAAAAGGCTCAATGGCTTGCTGTTGAAAGGGAAAAGCATACACTTCTTTTGTTCCCCAAGCAGTTCTTCCTTCAAGGTATTTATCATAATTATATCTTTTGTTTAATTATTGTTTTCATGTTGACAAAAACAAAAAATAAAAAAGTTGCTGCCATTTATAGAGAGTTCCTGATATACTAATTCTTCCAGAACATGACTACCTGAGATCCAATTTCATCTTTTTATGAAAGCATATCTGGTAACATATCCTACATAACATAAAATTAAACGTCACTCGAATAGTCAAAACACATCATGAAAGAAATAAAATAAATGAAAGATTAACATACCATAAAATATTAAAGTTCTGTCACATTAATCAGTGTTGACATTGAACTGGACTTGTTACAGAAATATTCATAAAACCACATAAATAAAAAATGCTACTTTTAAAGTTTAAAAGATAGAACAAAGTAAAAAAATGGGTTTAGTTTGATCACTTACTTTAGTTATTGATGCATACCACAAGTATGCTTTGTATGACCTTTACGATTACAAAATGAACATGTCTTACTCTTTTTACCACTTTTCTCAATTCTACCCTTTTTCCTTATTGAAGGAGGACGCCCTTTTGTAACGACATGTAAAAGATCTTGTAAAGTCATTCAAGCACATGAAACATTACCATTGTTGCTTTGAAAAGCTACAGAATCTATAATAAAATTTAACTTCCTAGCTTCATCAACTTTAGCATTCTCAATGATCAAATTATCGAGTTTCTCATATAAATTTTTGATACCTTGAATTGCATGATCATGATGCTTACTTGATCTTATTGCTTTTTTAGAAAATCTAAAAGAGCGTAACATAACATTGTTGAACCAGAGTAGATGATTCATTGATCTTATCAATAAGCATAGTTTGTCAAATTTCTGGAGTAGAAGTTTTTTTAGCATCTCTTGTCCACCTACATAAAATGTATTAGGAAGGTAATGACAATACATGTTTTTAGTGAAAATTGTCAAAACATGTCAACATAAAATCTCCATGAATTCAAACTTGTGACAATTACACATGGCTTCTTTAAGTAAGGCGTTAAAAGTTACCATGTAAGTAGGCTTTTCCTTACCAATCTCATGCACCTTGTATATTTTTGAATTACCATTGACTTCAATTCGATTAGCAATATACTCTTAAGCATGATGCAATTCATCTTGAAACATTCTAAATAACTTTCCCGTGTATGTGAGAGATGTTTTAGCTTCTATTGGATATAATGTCTTCAAAATAGGCTTTGAATTCGTAGTCTTGAAGTTTTTTTCATGTTTTTTGTTATATTGAGCCTTTAATGCCTTTTTAAAATTTCATCACTAATTTACTAATCAAAGTACTAACATTAACATAGTCCGTAAAAAATTTATTCAAACTTTCACTTCTTTAAGTTGTTGACCTTCCAGCATAAAATGTGTTACGTAAAAAAGCATCATGAATGGAATAAATTTTGTCCAACCAAGAAATACCTTGTAAATTATATGTTTCCGTAACTCTCATCCAGGCATTTTCAAACTCATCAAATGTAATTGTGTTATGAATAAAATTATTGAAGTCTTTTTTAAAATCAGGATTCTGATGGTAAACATGACTCAAAGCTTCAGAAAAGTTCTTTTTGATATGTCGCATACAAAAATGGTGATTTGCATTAAGCAAAACTTTGGTAATTGTATTAGAAATTGCTACATCTTTATATGTGATAATTGTTGCTGGTTAACATCTATACATTACTCTAAGCTAAGTTCTCAATAACCAAATAAATATTTCTTCAGTTTCATCCCATAACAAAGAACATCCAAATAAAATGGATTGAAATGATGATTCACACCAACAAAGGGAATAAAAGGCATTTTATACTTATTTATTATATAAGTAAAATCAAATACTACCACATTACCAAAATGATTATATACCATCTTAGATCTTGTATCTGCCTAAAAGCAATATACAAGGCAACCATCGGTATCAGTTTGAATTGCATAAAAAAACTTGGATTTTTTTATTAGAAATCATGAAAATAATCTAACATTATTTGAGCATCTTCTTTTTCCAATTACTTATGCCTTCTACGACTTAAATAGTTAAAACCATCAAGCTTAGTCATATTAAGGTTACCAATCCCATCAAACTCATGAGATAAAATAGAAACTATCTTACTTGAACAAATAACGGAATCATTAAGAACATCCATAAGATCTCTTTGAACTTTTGTTCGTACTCTATATGAGTGAATAAATTACGTGTTATTTAGTGAAGCAAGTACATGATTATGCTCCGCATGAAATCGGGAAACATTCCACTTTCCTACTTTTTTCTTGGATATTTAAAGCCTTGCTTTACAACCTTCTCTTGTCTCATTTGGTGTTGTATAAATTCTATTTTCTTTTTTCAAGTATTTTTTTTTACTTGCACACCTTTCTTTGAATAAACTAATTACCAATCATTGCTTAATTAGTTCTTGATCTAGTAATGCGATTTTTCATGTATCAAAGTCTTTGGATCTCGCATACTTATTGTAATATTCTTAAGTATCATCTGGTGACTCAAATTTCATGCTCACATATGGTTTTAATAATGTCTTAATCCTTGATTCTTCAATGACATGCTCCATTCTATTTTTACCTTTAAAAACTTGCTTTATTTCCATGTTATCAATCTCATCATCCTCAATTTCTTTCATTTCCATCATATAAACCTCATGTGTTGATGTATTTTTCCTTTTAATCCTAAAAAAAAAAAAAAGAAAGAAACAATCTAAATATTGAATTTAATTAAGATATAAAAAGTATAAAAAGTTATATGTCATACATACAGGATGTAATATTGTTCTATAAATTGTAAACTTAAGGAAAATTAAAAATGCTCATGTAAGTTAATTTATATTTTAGTGTTTGTACCGAGAATGATACATTCTTGGACAAAAGAATAAACTTATATTGTATAAGAAAATTTAATAATAATAGCATTCATAAACATCACATCCTTACAAAAAATTAATAGTTGAATGATTTAAAATAATTGATGATTGAGAAAACACTGATTGATCTATTAAGATGAAAGCCACTAGCCTACTTTAATAAGAATTTCGACAAAAAAAAAATCATATAAATGATTGAAACTTTCAATAATCAAAGAACTACTCTTCAATGTCATGAAAAAGAAACAACGATTTTAGGATGCCAAGAATGTTTATTTCCTCTTCAGGTTAATACATAGAGGGAGAAGATTGCAACAGATGATGTTTGTTAACAAGGACTTGATGAGCTTAACAATGTAAACTTTAAAAGTTCAAAAGCCCATCTAATTACCCTAGGTTGGAGTGAAAGAAAATATACAATTATGGCTATAAGGTCCTTGGATTGAGTAAAGCTATTGTTCGACACTATTTGTATTATAATAGACATGTAGTATGTGGTCTTTCATGAAATTATCATCACAGGAAGAATGGAATCCTATCAGGTTTAAAGCACAATAAACAATTCAAAAATTATCTTGAATCTAAAGTGGGTTTATATGATTTCAATAAGCTAATAAATCAAAAACCATTTTCTAAGAATACATGATTGAAACTTTCATTATGCAAGTGTTAAACCCAGAATAATTTAATTGAAACATTTCATTGAACAAGTAAGAAGCTTAGTATATTCTTAATTAATAATAAATAAGGATTATTATCCTATTTGAACAAATTTGTTAAGGATTATTAATTGCAACCCTATTAACTAAAAATTAAAAACTAAGAATTAACACTTGCTAGAATAAATGCAAAAAAAAAAAAAAGTTACCTTGCAAGGAGAATAAAAATTAGTGAGAAACAAAGGCACGAGATGGAAGGTTAAGAGAGAAGTTCTAAGTTTGGGAGAAGCGAGGATGAGAGAGGCGGAGAGAGTGATAGCAAAAGTTTCGGAATTAAACGTTAGTGAGATTAGGTAACGTAAATGATGGATAAGAAAGCTTTTTTTAAAAGGTACATGGCAAAAAAAAAAAAAAATTTCGTTGGTGGAGTTTTAAGTTTTTATTGATAGTGGATAAAATAATAATTTATATATAAAAAAAACTTACATAAAGTTGTTTAAGTGGAACTTTTGAAATTTTTTATTAAAAATGATGCAATAAAAATTAAAATTAAAAATCAAAATTAAAATATTGATAGAGTTTAATAAAAAAAATTATTAATATATAAAAAATTTATTAAAAATTTTATTTTAAATTTAATAAATACTTATTTAACAGTAAAAATTTTATCAAAATTTTTACTAAAAATATCAATCTAAAAAATATGTCAAATTTTATTAAATTTTTTTTAAAAATTTGTATGCTTATCTATAACAAGACCTTTTAACGTATTGATTTCAATTTTAATTTTTTATTTTAATTTTTATTGAATTGTTTTTAATAAAAAATTCATAAATTTCACATAAAAAATTTCTTCTAAGTTTATATATATATTTATATATATAAAATATCAAATACATTAATAGTGAAATTTTTAAATTTCACAAGTAGAGATAAAAAAAATGGCATATATTTCTTAAAATATATTTAAAAAATAAAAAAAAAATTAATTAAAAATAAAAATGAGATATATATATATATATATAATCTCTTAGTTCCGCTTATGAAATATATATATATATACATATTTATTTATTTATTGGTTGAACAATAAAAGTTTTTAGGCTTCGTTGGATACATCCCTTTTTAAGATTGATTCAAACATATTTATTTATGTCAGATGAATTTACGAAAAATTAATTTTTTCATAGTTTTTTAATGGTTTGAACTCAAGACAATTAAGAGAAAAACAAACTTTTTTACCACTTAAGTCAAAGAATGTAGGAATGATGAATATATTTTCAATTTATGCTTTATATAACAATATATAGATTTATATGGTGAATATATACTGAACATTGTTAATCGTATTGTTATAGCCATGCATTGGCCCAAAATGAGAATAAAAAAAAAAGAGAGTAGTGTTATAACCAAGCATGAGCTATCAATATTCTGAGAAGGAAACGTATCAAAAAACGAAAAAAGCTTCAAAGGAATAATATTATTAGAATACAGAAGTATATGTAGCATTTATACATCGGGTTACAGGCTTGAGTTACAGCATTTATACATCGGGTTACGGGAGTTGACTGGTAGATATTGAGTTACAGGATTCTCAACCAAGAGCAAAAGCTTCCTTTTTCCACCCGCAGCTTTGATACTGAACTTTTGCAGTAACTGAGCTTTAGCAATAAAAACATTTGATAATAATCATGATAAACAATGGAACACATTATAATTAAGAACTTCAATATCAGGGTTAGCAAAAAAGTGAGACTCACCCATCATGCTACAGAAACCTCCCAATCCCCTTGGCATGCGAGTATTTGGTTCAATCTTAATCAAAACACCTTCATCGTTTTTCACATATATAGCTTCTAGCCTACCTGCTTTGCAAAGTCGGCTATCCATAATTTCACCCAGTGCCTGAACAAATCAAACAATCAGAACAAGGACAGTTGACAACATGTACAGCCAAACCATAAATTAATTGGAAAGCGTGCTTTGTCTCAAATCAAATTTGAAACTCAACTTCTTACAATTTATACTAAAGGCACCTCCCATAATACTAAAAGAATATGGACAAAGTATGATTACTGACCTCATAAACAATATCAGGTCTGTAGTTATAAGGATTCCTATTCTTCTTCCGCAGGAAAGCAGCATGTTTATTCGACCTTAAAATCTCGAATCTCTGAAAGAAGTGTTACAGTGCTCAAAACAAAACCCAAAGAAAAAAATTACTCAAGTAATCCCAAATAATCAATAAAGTAATTGAATCATAAATCCTGATCATTTGATACAAATGCTTACCTTTCCAACATTAGCACAAACCAATGAGGCTTTCTCAAGAATAAAAGTTACACCAGGTTTTGTCTTGGAACGAAGGCGCCAAGGGAATACCAGGAAGCTCAAATGCAGCAGCTTCAGATATAATTTTATTCCTTGTCAATTGAGTCCCTTCCGGAACCATCAGGTCCAATGTCTTGTCCCTATTTTCACCTTTACTTATGCTTTTATCACTTATCTCTAGTCCAGACTTGCTTCTTGAATAGGGCTGTAAGATCTCTCTCTTTCGCCTTTTCTTTTCAACCCTGATATTTACCAAACATAGTAGGTTAACTAATGGCTACCATAGGGTACAGTAGACACTAGCAACTGGTATATCAATACCATGGCAGCAGTCTAATATAGCATCAAGAGATGCATATGGGTGTTCCTTGTTTCCAGGCTTCTAGCTTTCAGACTTAAGGAAGCAGGGCACCAAATACCCAATGAACTATAAATTTTGTTTGGAATCACATTACAAAGAGCAAAAGAGCCGCACCTTCCAGAGACCCTCTGAAGAAGAGAGAACCTATAAAGAGGTCGCCGAGAAAACCTCAAAAGGCAGGGAAGGAGCCGTTTAACCATTGCACTAGCAAAACAGGCAGACAAAAACAGAAACTTAGATTTGGGTCCCAAAAAAAAAAGAAGAAAGAAGAGAGACTTAGAATTAGGTATCAACATAGACAAGTTCTATGTCTCGATCTCAAAAGCAGATGAATTTTCTTTTTCAAGCATGGATGTAAACTCAAAAAATTCTTTTTTTTTTCCCTTTCCAAAACTAAATCAAAGTTACATCATCTTTTTCACAAGAGAATTAAGCATTGACATAACTTCGATAAAGTTTCCATGTTTTGGCAGCTGCTCAAAACCATTCTAACTCTTGTACGTAAACTTTAGACCAAGATAAAAAGATTTACCAGCCACAAAGAGTTAAGAGAAGAAATACCGGGGAAGAGCGGTCGTATTCAGTGGCGCCTCAACTTCTCAAGGGTTGCACAGAAGAATTTGAGCGCTAAGATTTTTAGTCTCATACAAACACTGAACTACAGGTAGATTACGGACTAATTCTAATTCCTTATTAATCAAGAAATAAAAGGGCTTCTTAAACTTTTCAATACCATTTGGGCCAGTCACGATTTAGCTACTACACCCAATCGGCTAACAAGGCCCAGGCTTTAGGGGCCTAACTATGTTTATATGTCAGAGTTTTGTTTGCCCAGTGTTTAAATTGGGCTATTAAGGGAAATAAGGCCCAACATTCAGGTATTTATTCTTATTACATTTGATAATTTTAAATATAAAATGAAAACAACACAAAAAAGATAAAAGAGTGATATGATTTAAAATTTTTGTAAAAATCATATATAAGTTCTGCAAAAATTAAAAATATTTTGCATTTAACATATTAACATTATTTATTATATGATAATCGTTGTATTTTATATATATTTGATATTAAATAAACGCGACAAATACATAAATTGTTAAATATAATATTCAATGATTAATTTATATTTAAAATTACTTATTTAGAGATAGATTTCACATCAAAATTTATTTGCTAAACCAACCATTATATACAGTTAACTACATTCTCATCATTAGTTGATTCCTACTTAGTTTTGAAAGTGTTTAAATCTAAAATGTTCCAGTTAGTGAAGCCAAAACCAGCAAAAAAAGAGCTAGATTTAGATCTATTGACAAAAGGATGGTGCAAGAGAATTTGGAATAAGGTAACATCAGAAGCTGTTAAGGAACTTGGAGATGAACAGATAGGAACAACCAATAGCTGACAAGATGGTTTAAGCACTTTCTCTTTTGGCTTGATTAGCAAGTATCAAAGGTAGGAGGTTGAAGGCTACCCGGCACCCATGCCCACATTACCTCCCTTTAACTGGATTAATCAATCCTTTTCCTTCTTCTATTTTTAACTATAACATAATGTTTTTTTTAGTCCTACTCAAACCATACAATGTTGCTTCATTTAAATTTTGTTTTGACCCCACTTCAATGACCTTTATATCCTCAAATAATTCCTCTTGTACAAGACAAAAGAATTTAAAATACAAAAGAAATTCTTCAAAAAAGAAAAAAAAAAAAGAAATGGTTCATTTTCAATCCTAAATTAGAAATTCAGAATCACGGAATGGGTTCTCAAAGATTTTCTGATCAAAGAAAAAGAGCTTTAAGTTTTCTAATGAACGAAATGGACCGACTATAACATGAAGCATTTTTTATGTGTTCATCAAGCTCATGACGTCTTTAAAATTTGTTAATTTGGATGCTATTGGAACTTTAAGATGAGGAATCTACAGTTAAAATTAGATTTCATTAGGAAAATTATTCTCTGGCTTGGACATCACTCTAAAGGGATTCACCAGCAGATAGTCGGACCACAACTGAAAGTTTCTGCTCCAGACACAACATTTCTAAAGGGTAACATAGATTATCCGAATTCTAGTTACCTAATTAACAAACTAGTTAGTTGTTCTCCCACTATATAAACTACCTCACTTGTTCCTTTTCTCTGCATCCAAACAAATTTGATCCCACTTTGACTATCCTTTTCATTTTTGCTAGATTATCACAAAAATATTACTAAAAGAAAACGGAAAAGAAACATGGTTTCTGTTTCTCTTATATCATCAGCCTCTTTCAGGGCTTTGTTCCTGGCGTTCTGTGCTGTCTGGTTACTGCCTGATTTGGCATTTGCAAAGCATGCAGGCATTACCAGGCACTACAAGTTTAACGTAAGTTTTTGTTCCCATTTCTTAGGTTTCTTTTTAAGTATGCCTATAGCTTAGATTGATATTTTCCACCCCTTTGTTTTTTCTTTTTCTTTTTACTCTTTTACAGATTAAGATGCAAAATGTGACAAGATTGTGCCAAACAAAAAGTATTGTGACAGTCAATGGCCAGTTCCCAGGGCCTCGGATTATAGCTAGGGAAGGCGATCGCCTTCTGATCAAGGTGGTTAACCATGTTCGATACAATGTCACTCTTCACTGGTATGAAATTTGACTTCCTACTACTTTCTCAATTCATTTAATGGTTAGCATTTTATTTAAAAGTTGATCAATGCTGGATTTTCGCTTGGAAACTAGGCATGGAATCCGGCAGCTAAGGAGTGGATGGGCTGATGGACCTTCCTATATCACACAGTGCCCAATTCAGACAGGGCAGTCCTATGTATACAACTTCACCATTACTGGCCAAAGAGGGACCCTATTTTGGCATGCTCACATCTCTTGGCTAAGAGCTACACTTTATGGACCTATTGTCATCCTCCCCAAACGACATGCCTCTTACCCATTTCCCCAGCCCTTCAGAGAAGTTCCCATTATTTTTGGTAATTGATACAACTCATATCTGGCACTAAAACTAGAATAATTTTCCATCCAATTAAACTAAATTTGAGTTTTGCCTCAAATTGCAGGAGAGTGGTGGAAAGCAGACACAGAAACAATTATCAGCCAAGCAATGGCAACTGGAGGGGCACCAAATATCTCAGATGCCTTCACCATTAATGGTCTCCCAGGGCCCTCTTACAACTGCTCAGCAAAAGGTACTACATCATATATATTCACTGTCAATTTCACAAACCAATATTGTCAATTTCCACCGGAAAGGTTCCAATTCAGGGACATACTAAAAACAAGTAAAGTAAATTTATGCAGAAACATTCAAGCTTAAGGTGAAGCCAGGTAAAACCTATCTTCTCCGTCTGATCAATGCTGCACTCAACGATGAGCTCTTTTTCAGAATTGCAAACCACACCCTCACTATTGTAGAAGCCGATGCAGTTTATGTCAAACCCTTCAAAACAGATATTTTGCTAATCACTCCAGGGCAGACCACTAATGTCCTTCTCAAGGCCAAATTTAAGACCCCAAGCGCCAATTTTGCTATGTCAGCCAGGCCTTATGCCACTGGCCCTGCCACTTTTGACAATACCACAACAATCGGTATTCTAGAATACGAGAAATCTGCTTCTGCCTCAAACTCTAATAACAAGAGCCTCCCGCTTCTAAACGCTAAACTTCCACAGTTTAATGACTCTAACTATGCTATGAAATTCAGCCAGAAAATCCGTAGCCTCGCCAAAGCTAAATTTCCCGCAAACGTCCCAAAAAAAGTTGATTGGCGCTTCTTCTTCACAGTTGGGCTAGGGATACTCCCGTGCTCACAAAACCAAACATGTCAAGGTCCCAACAACACCAGGCCAGCAGCTGCAGTTAACAATGTCTCATTTGTGCAACCAAATATTGCAATTCTCCAGGCTCACTTCTTTAACCAATCAAAGGGAGTTTACACCACCAACTTTCCAACCAACCCACCATTCAAGTTTAACTACACAGGTACACCACCCAAAAACATCATGTTGGACAGCGGCACCAAGGTGGTAGTGCTACCTTTCAACACTAGCGTGGAGTTGGTAATGCAGGATACCGGCATCCTTGGTGCAGAAAGCCACCCTTTACATCTTCATGGGTTCAATTTCTTTGTGCTGGGTCAAGGTGTTGGCAACTTTGACCCCAAAAAAGATCCCGCCAAGTTCAATCTTGTCGACCCTGCGGAGAGGAACACTGCGGGAGTACCATCTGGTGGATGGGTCGCCATTCGGTTCCTTGCAGACAACCCAGGTGAGTTACATAATTACGTAATTCTGTATAATTTACTTGTCAGATAAGCATATCGAATACAGAAGAGAATAAAACGCTTGTAACTTAGGAAAAGACATTTTTCAAAATCGACTTAATTTGGCTGGTAACTTGGCAAATCAAAGACAGTTATCGATTTAGATAGACATGTTTTTACTAATGTAATCAAATGTAGTTCTCTGAACTCTTATTTTTTTTATTAACTTTGGATATTGGTGCATGAATAGGCGTTTGGTTTATGCATTGCCATCTGGAAGTACACACTAGCTGGGGCTTGAAGATGGCATGGGTAGTCAACGATGGAAAGGGCCGCAAACAGAAGCTACCACCTCCACCTGCTGATCTTCCTAAATGCTGAAATCCGATCGTTTCACTCCTTTCCCTTTTCCTGCTATTACAATTTTACAGGGCCCATTCCATTCTTTTATTTCCTATTCTTATTTTCCACGAGTATACTTGCTAGGCTCTCTATAGCTTAAGACTGTTTTTTTGTCCACCATTACTTCAGTATATCCAACACCAGAAAAAGAACTGGTGTGGCTTTTTGTAGGTTACCAGGCTATATACTACCATAAGAACTATTGATGTGTGGCAGAATCTACTAGATAGATTTTCTATAAATACAATTTTCCTTTCCTCTTAACTTTTGTCGGGATTCAACTCTCAAAGTTTACCCAAATTTTGTGCCTACATGGCTCAAGTTGCCCAACGAGAAGAAATACAATAAATATCCATGTAATCATCCCCTATCAAGCTAAATCAGCTTGTTTTGGATGAAATCATGATGTAGAACAATTGATTTCAATTGAGTAGATATTGGGCTCAAAATCCAAGTTAGCTAAGTTTAAGTTTAAATTTTATCTTTGGCCCAAAGTTGTGATTCAAAATCCAAGAGTGCCCAAGTTTTGTAAAAAAAAAAATAGT